TTCCTACTATAAGCCTTTTTATTTGGAATGAACAGTATCCAGCAAAAAATGACTTTTATAAGCAGGTCCATATAATAACCAATTTATGTGAATGGCTCATCCACATACAAATCTGTGGGAAAAGAATCCCTGCTCCCTTTTGGATTTTCTGGGATTTTGTATCTCTGCCACTGGTTGTTAAAATAGATTCATGTGGATCCTACTTATATAATAAGGGAATCTGAGAGAACAAATAACACCAAGATTGGTGCTTGTTTCACTTATTTCATAAACAAAGTCATCCATCATGCAGTGATAGTGTAAAAAAGTAATTGCCCCCCGGTTCAATAAGTTCAATTAAACAGATAAGTAGGGTCAGATTTAGTAATGGATTGCACTGCCTTTAACTGCAATGGCTGCAACCAAGTGCTTCCAGTAATTGGGGATCAATTTCTCACATTACTGTGTAAGAATTCTGGTCCATTCCTCCATAATGAACTGCATTGACTCAGTAATACTGTATGTATTTCTCATTTCAGGTCCTGCCCAAACATTTTTATGGTGTTTAGGTCTGAAGTTTGTATTGGCCATTCCAAATATTGAATTTGTTCTTCTTCATCGATTCTCTAGTAGAGAGGTTGTAAAAGTAGAGCAGTAGTATGTTGGGAGCACTGTCTTGCTGCACAACCCACTTGTACTTCAGCTTTAGCTGACAGAGATAGATTGATATTAAATCCTATAAAATCTCTGATAGGAAGCACAATTCATGCTTTGTTCAATGATGGCAAAATTTTCAGATCCTGAGGCAACAAACCATCCCTAAACTATGCACTACTCCTTCCATACTTGACATCTGGTATGGGCTTCTTATTGTAGAATGCAGTGTTTGATTTCTCCCAGACATAATGATAGCTACATGGCTCCAAATGTTCCATTTTTAGCTTGGCAGTTCATGGAACGTTCTTCCAGAAATATGGAGAGTTATCCAGATGCTTTGGCAACCTTGAGATGAGCATCAGTGTTCTTTTTAGTGAATAGTGGTTTCCACCTTCTTACTCTTCAAGGAATTCCATTTCCTACTCTGTGCTGTCTGTTGATGGAATCATGAACACCTGACTTGGGCCAAGGTAAAGGAGGCCCGCAGCTGCTTAGAAGTTGCTCTGTGGTCTTTGTGACTACCTGGATAATTTTATGCTGTGCTCTTGGTATGATTTTTGACAGGAAGGCCACTTTTTTCAATTTTCAAATTATAAATCTGCCTGTGGATTGGTGGGGACCCAGAGCTGAGATATGGTTTTATAATCCTTTCCAGACAGATACATATTTTTAACAAGCTCTTCAGAAATTTATTTTGAGCAGAGCATTGCAGAACTTAAAATCTGTTTGTTGAGAACTTCACTGTGATAAGGAGCCAAAATTTGTCAGATTTATGTAAGATAGGGCTGGCCCAAATCAGCCTTGGTTGTTTAACGAATTAATGCTACAACTAGTCCTAATTATCCCTTTAATTGGCTTAAATGAAATAGGGAGTGATTATTTTTTTCATACTGACACATCACATGTTGGATGACTTTGTTTATTAATTAAGTAACCCTTTGTGTTATTTGTTCACTCAGTACTCCATTTATATACCAGGAAGGCCCATATGAATCTCAGAAAACATTCAGTTGCAAAGATATATAAAAATTCAGAAAATCCAAAGGGGGGAAATACTTCTTCATAGAACTGTAGATCATGACCTATAGGACAGCCTCTGATCAATCAGTAGATGTGCATAAGGCTCTGTATCTCAATTCTTCAACAACAGCAGCTAATGAAATGTCTTCCCACCTAAAGTCAAATGAAGAAAGCTGGATAACCAAGAGAACACTTTTATGATGTCTGTGTTTTTAGTATAATATGTAGTATAATGGTATAATTTGTTATGAAAACAAATTCTTAGATTTCAAGCATGCTCAGGGAACATTCTACTCTTTTATTCTTAATGTACCTTTCTTTAGATCTCAAATGCTAGTAAAAAATAAAGTAGATCTGACAAGTGATAAGTCCATTACTGCCCATTACTGTTGTAAGCACTCTAAATTACAGGTCTTGGGTTGAAAATGTAGTTACTTTTACTCTGTTCTTATGTCTGAGGATTACACTTCAGAATCCAACTCTTCTGCACAAGAAAGTGGTTCTGTTTTCTTGCTCAATTTTCTTCACTACCATTAAAATTGCTAATCTAACTTTTGTGGCAACAGTGTCAGCCCAACACCTATTAAATTTTTGAATCTTCAAAGAACAACCTTTAGAAGTGGCATTAAAGGATAGCATTTCTTGCCATTCCAAGTTAAATCTTGATCAATGTGTTAATGATTAAAGGTGCTGTAGGCTAAGTTTTCCTATGGGAGTTATAAGAACACAATAACAGAATATATAGAGGCACAGCCTCAACTCTACGAATTGCCTAGGATGAAGTTCTGTTTTGTTTTAAACAAGCATGATATTTTTACCTTCATAGTCTAACATATACTCTTGGTATTCCCTGGTGGTCTCCCATCCAAGTAATAACCAGAGCCAAGGCTAGTTATCTTCCAAGCCCAAATCGGCCGAGTGCTGCTACTTGCTGAAATACAATATATTGTCATACTGTGAATCAATCTATGCTTTGTAAAATATTCTTTTTATTATGCAGAAAAGTGCCTAAACTCTTGATTCATCAGATTTCACTATGTTCTTGAGTAGTGGAATAACTGCACCAGTACTGTTATTAAGCCTTTGCAATGAAGCTACATATTCATTTATAACGGCTTCCTTTCCAGTTTAGTGAAACTAGCCGCCGTATTTGATTCTCTCTCAGTTGTAATCTCAGGTTGTTTAATAGCATATAAGTTTGCCTTTATTCAAGCCTTCTTGAGGCTATAATATGGCCTTCTATAGAATGATCAGATTTAACTAACATATTTGAAAATATTGCAAAGTGAGTTGGAAGCATAGATGGGAATAAGCTAAAAAGCAGGGGAGGGCTAAAGACACAGTCCTGAAACATGCTTCCTAGAAGTATGCCCCTTTGAATGGCAGAGAATTCCTTCCAACTGAACATGAATACATTGGAATGCCAATGATTCAGAGTCACATTGAAAATATATGTGTCTTCTTTTAGCATCCTTATGATAAAAGAGACAGAGCATGCACAGGGTTCTTTTTATAAAATAGTATTTAAAGCTTTCACAATTGGGAACATTTTTAAGGATGGGGACAAGAAAAAGATGTGCCCTATAAGATTAATCCAGCTGAAGTTCTATATCTAATTGTGCTCTCAAGCTTTGCCAGATGATTTGCTTTTTGTATATTAGGACAAAAGATTTTCTGTGTATGGCTGAGCAGAGGTTAACCATGCATACCCAGCAGCTGCACAAGAGCTGAGAACAGGACTCAGTTGGAGGGGTGGGGGGGGGCAGCGGAAAGGATTTGATATAGCTTAAATGCATCAGTACTTATATCTTTATTTTGTTTGGTGTCAATATACCAATATGTCAAATACCCACATGAGAAATACATACGGGATTTTCGAATGCTTCGCTCGTTTATTTGGACAGAAACAGTATTAGTCTTATATTCAGCAGTGAGATTGTTTTAGAAAATTATTATGAAGACTACGCATTGGATTTTGAGTATCACCTGAAATGAATTTGCCTCCCACTCACCGCCACCATCCTAACTGCCAAAAATCCTCTTTCCAAGTCTTGAAGCATTTGTGTGGGGCATAACAATTCATACACTGAAATGTTTGTTTCAACTTTAAAGTTTTACTTTTCAAAAAAAATATTTAACCATGAAATTTGGTGCATGTCTACTCTGAAGTAAGACCCATAGATTTCATTAGGAAGAACAGAAATACAGTAAAGGAAAAACTGGTAAAATTCTTATCTTCAGGTGACCACCAGAACTTGGGAAATGATTTGAGAACATTCCTATCGGTTTTGCTACTACTGTATTGTATTAATGGTTGTGAGGAAAAGAGAAGGCCTACAAAGCTGCATTATGGGAAGATGGTTGTTTGAAGACAAACAAAAAATTACAATACAGTATTAGCAAGCCTTGACCCGCGAACATGCTTCATGGAAAATTACCTATTGGCTTTTGGAGACCACTAAATTAGTGTAGAGGTTATTTAGACATCTATGGCAACACTTGCAAATAAAAGTTTTACACTATGGGACAATTTATACAAGCAGCTGAAACACTTACCAAGAGTTTCAATTTATTTGGTATGACACTTTGCCTTCATGCGGGCTGAGTTTGCATGATGTTCTGCTCATGGTCATTGATCTTGGGAGCCAATAGATCCAATCAGGATGTAGCTAGAACAAAAGGAATTCGGGGCATTGTGCCTCAAAAATCAGGGCCAAAACGGCTTTCAGGCAGCCCCCCCCAAATTTGCTTCCTTAGTGGAGGCTATCTAATATATATGTTAATAGAACAAATTTTATGGGGATGGGTATTTCCTTTCCCTAAATTTTGCCTGTTTTACGCCGGCTGACTTTGGGCCAGTCACTTTTTCTCAACCCAACTCACCTCACAGTGTTGTTGTTGTGGGGAAAATAGGAGGAGGAAGGAGTATTAGGTATGTTCTGCTGCCGTGAGTTATTTATAAAAATAATAAAGGCACGATAAAAAAAATCTAAAAAAAAAATCTAATACATGGTAATGATTTATTTCTCCTGCTTCTTAAAAGCCAAAGTTATTCTGTCTCACAACTGGAACTCTGCCAACCTCTTTATCAAGATTAAAATCAAGCATTTTAGGCAAGATTATCTTCAGAAGGACCCATTTAAGAAACTGTATCAGAAGACAAATGGATAGGATTCAGCAATGAACACCTTCATTTACTATAAAATGAGAATTCTAATCAGAAATAACAGGTTAACATGGATGTTATGCCCTCCTACTCCATTTCCAACATTCCTTATTAGTACTCATTACCAAATGAAAGCGTATCAACATGCAAAATATGGGCTATGTATTGTAAAGGATATGGCACTCCCAGAATAAGGTGAGATTTCGGAAATATCTTGAAGGTCACCACACTCAGACTTGATGAGAGATATTGAGAGGCTTTCTGCAGTGCTAGGAGGGTGTGCTGGTGAACAAGGGTGATGGTTCATATGATGTGATGACATCTTGGTCCTCAGACTTGTGGTCTCTCTTGTTAAATCTAAGGATTCTGGGGAGGCTCTGTCTTTCCCAGGGAAGGAGGCAGAAGGAGCCCCTAAGGGGTTCTGAAATGGGTACGCCATAAGGGGCAGAGGAAAGGGATGGCGGAACGAAGATGAAGTGAACCCTGTGGTGGCAGACAGTGGAGACTGATGGAGAGCAGCATGATGGCTACCAGGAGGTGGGGCAGAGGCAGGCTGGTCTGATGAATTTTTGCGGACAACTAGGGGCAGTGCTTCTGTTTGGTCTGTGGAATTAGGCAGTGGCACATTCCCAAAGGTGTCTAGTGGGCTTGGAATGATGATGTCCCCAAAGCACTGGAGGCGCTGGTTTGCTGTGTGGAAGTTGTGGTTCTCCCCATTGACAGCAAATCTTGCTTGGGGGATCTGAAGAGGTGGGAAGACCTGAGGAAGTTGACGGACAGGTTTTGAAGAGAAAATCTTGACCACAGTGTCCACAACCTGAGACATGGCAGTGTTCAGTTCCTGCTTCAGCGTCTCAGCTAAGTGCTTGCCTTCTGGCTGAAAAGAGTTGGGCCCATGATCTTTTTCTTTGGGGCCATCTTTTCTGGGTTTGTTCTCAGCTATCTCCTGTTCTCTAATCAGAGCTCGTGCACGATCAATAAACTGCCCCGGGTCCAATTCACACATTTCATTATCCGACCTACCCACAGAATCTCTTGCCCTGGCATCCAGTGTTTCTGAATGCAGGCTGTCTTCAGATAGGTTACCAGCATCTTCGTCATTTTCAGAATCTGTGCTGTCATAGATTTGGTAGAACTTTTCCTGAAGCTGGCGCAGCTGTTTCTGCATGTCCTCCAGCTGCTGTTTCAGCTGTCTGCGCTCCTCTCGCTTCTGTTCTTTCCTAGCTGAAACCAGCTGCTGGAAACTCTGTTGCTGCTGTTGAGGCAGCTTTTGCTTGCGCTTATTTTCTCTGTAACTTTCTCGGGGACTCACAGACTGTGGAGCCATCTCTCTTTCATTTTCATTGCCCCTTAATGCCACACTTGGGGAATGGCTCATCCCTCGAATGATATTCTCAACCCGGGCACGCTTAGCTCTCAGGTGCTCGTCGCATAACCGATCCATATCAAACTGGCTCATAGTGGGTCTGCCAAATGGAGAAAGACACTCTTGGGGGCTGTCTCTTGAAGAGTTGCTGCACACATCCTCCTGATGTACTTCTGAGCCTGTGCTGGAGAGGCCACTAGCTTGAAAACTGGGCTCGGTGCCACCATTTTTGTTCATGTTATTTTTCAACAGCTGGGAAATTATAGTTGCTCCTGGAAAAGGCATCATGGCATCTTCATATGAGTTTGCCCTCTTCAGCAGCTTGCGGAGCACATTTGACTTCTCCCCATCTGCATGCTGCACCACTGAATACTCAACATCCTGCTCAGAGCCTTGGGGATTCATGGCACTAAAAAACGATGCTCTCGCCTTTGCAAAAAATGCAGATGCTGTCCCTACCGTCCTTTTCACTCCAATGTCAACTCTTCTTCTCTTGGTCTGCCTACTTAAGAGGGCTGTGCTGTCATGGTCAGGCATCACTGAACAGTTATTGTGCCATCTTCAAAAGCTTGTCAGCTGGGCACAGCTCAAGAATCCTGGGACCCTGGCCAACAGAACAAAAGGGCTGATGAATCATTTTCTTTAAATTTCTCCAAATTTCCTGACCTCAATCCTGAATCAAATGCAAAATGCATAGGCTCTGGGATTTATGGCACATTACAATTATTGCAATTTATTATGTACTCTGCTTGAAATGAAACATTTTAAATATTTCTGCTCCACTGGTTTAAGATGGATTAAGATTTTTTTTTAAAAAAAAAAAAGAGGAAAGAGGAAAAACTGCTTAAGCACCAGTAATATATGGTTCTTTGCACAAATGCCTAAAATAATACTGTTTATCTTCAGGAGAAGAAAAAAAAAACCCAGTAGATTAGAAGAACACAGACACTGACAACCAATTGATTAAATTTAGGGTTTGAAATACATGTCACAAAAGAAAATGAAACTCGGTCTTGTTTCTTAAGTAAGGCAATCACATATAAATTTGGGCTAAAAAATCAAATTTAGTTGTAAACTGAATTAAAATAGTTTTGAGATTAAAACCAGAAATCTTCTTTAATTTTATAAGGGTTTTCCAGTATATGTGTAAATGTGAGCAGGTACGCTGTGCATACCTATATACACACATACCCAGAACATGTTGAATGAGATGCCACAAACCTCAAAAATCATTATGGGAACTATTTTTAGGGGAAAATTTACATTTTGCTTATAAAATACATCTGTTGCTGAGTTCTGCTTTGAAAATTGAGTTTCAAAAACATTATTCCCATTGTGTCATTTTAAACATTCCAGAAAAGGATAGGATGGGGATGGGAAGGCAGAATTTATTATCCTTGGGATATTTTCCCATTTCATGAACTGTGATATATGGCATCAAGTTGTTTGCATAAAGTAGAAATAAGGCATTCTCAGCACTGTGTCACTATCTCTTAGATCAGCTTCCCAAGATAATATCTCAGGTGACTAGTGAAATCATTATTTCATACGACATTGTACTTGCATAAAACCTTATTTCCTGCAACACACACACACACACACACACAGAGAGAGAGAGAGAGAGAGAGAGAGAGAGAAATTCTGAAGGAAAGATACGGAGAGATGAAAGAAAGCAACATCAAGCAATAGCGTGAGAAAGGCAGATATCTTTTCTTTTATAGGAACCATCATTGTTTCCCAGGAACACAGAATTTTAAAAAGAAGACAGATAACACATTTCCTTGCATTTTATAATAGGCTCTTGACATCATTCATGACTTATTAACTATGATGCTAAACTCGTATGGCACATGAAGCATTACAGACTTCTTCCGGTACCTTCATGTTGAAAGCTATACCAATGTAATATTAATTTTTCCCATACTATGTTTATCTAATATTAAACTCTACATTAGCTTAACAGTGCACAGTTTCCACAATAATAGGGTATCTTGCCAAAGGCAGTATTCAGACTTTTGGATCTGTTCCCATCTGTTTCGGTTCACCTGTAAAAACATCTACGTGCTCCCTAGGACTGCATCTGTAGCTAGCTTTTAAAGAATGACTACCCATGCAAATAAGCATAATTTCAGCCTGAAATAATCTACACTATCAGCGTCTATAGCCAGGGCTTGTAAGTGTAGCAATAAAAAAAAAAAAAAAACCCAAACCCTACAAAAACTTTTAGAATGAAACCTATATTTGTTTGTTTATCATTCAAAGCCTGTGCATTGATCCAACTGTTTTGGACATTATAAAAGAATTCTTAAGAAATGTTATACAAGCTGTGGAATGCTCAGTTACATTTTTTTAAAAAAAATTTGCACTATATAGTAATTCCTAAGGAGACTATACAGTTGTTAATAGTTTTACACAAAAATTCTGTTAAGAAACACGAACACACATGCAGAATTTTGCAATAGCAAATGTAACTTTGGGTCAAGCATATCTGATTGGCATCTTAGCTTAAATTCAGTTTTACCACAGCAATCTTATCCAATGTATTTTTAAAGTGACTGTCTTTCCTCATATATTGTTTCCACTGGGATAAAAATATTCAGTCTCAGATTATATGACAGAACTGAATTTACAAAAAACCTAAGAATCAAATGTTTAATAATTAGAAGTTCAGATAAAATATGCCTTTTTGTGGAATGTTATAAATTCTATGGAACTATGTGAGAAATTAAATTATCCAAATTCCCTGTGAGATAAACGGAATTTCAGTACTAAGTGGCAGTGGCCTCTCTTTCTCTGTTTATTTCATATGATTATGGATCTAGTTCAGATCCTTTGTGTGGTAAACAAGTATAATGTATTTTCAGTTATACGCTATTTCATTTAATTTAATGCGAACATTCCACATAACAACAGAAAGTCATTTTTTGGCTTCTAGCTTAATTACAACTAAATAACCTTGCCCATAAATAAAAGGCAAAAATGTGCAGTGGTGAAAGCCCCCTATATGGGCTAGATTTGTAGCCTGTCATTATATGCTGATGTAAATACCTTCTGAGGTCTGCCTCTACTTTCAAAATGCCTCATCACTCTAAGTCCCAAAGAGGTTGCCTGTTATTGGGGTGCATTACTGAAAGTGCATCATTTTAGAAATGATATAGAGATATTAGCAGAAAGGAAAAGCAAGGCTAGCACAACTTTTAACTTTTTGTTTTTTCAGTTTAAATTCCAATGGACTTCTGATACGTAACACAAGATTCCCTACATGCTTTAAAAATGGTTCTTTCCTAATTTCTTTCTCCTTTCATTATATTTCATTTAAGGAAGGACGGAGTCAAGCATAGGGTGTCTGCAAAGCTCATAAAATGTTGAATTGAGACAAGTCATAAGGTCAATGCCATGGATCTACAATCCAAGGAATTCATTTTTCTTCTATATCTTTGCTAGCTGCTTCCAGTACAGATATCAGAAGGAAAGGCCAGACTGTCACAGTAGACAACAAGCATTACTGCTTGTAAATTATATGCATTAGTTGGTCCTCTATTTTCCTCATGTTTCCTTTATTCCCACTGACACTCATGCTATCTCCTTACATGACAAAACTTTACATTTTGCCTTCCAATCTTAAATAATGATTTTATTATTTTATTTTATTTTTTTACCAGGGCCATAGAATGCCACTGGTTCAGTCTCTTGATTTCAAAAATGCCCGTATGCGTTAACATTCTGAGGGAAATAGAACACTGCAGAAGAATCTAAAATTCTGAGTCGTCAAGAATCAGATCTTTTGATATGATTGTGGTAAGATTTTCCTATTAGATATGTGAAAAAATACACATATGAGGAAGGATGAACTGATCATTGAATTAGAGAGTGTGCTCCTGTCCAATTTAGAGGAAGGCAAGGCTGCTCCACTTGATTTATTTCTTGTTCAGAGGTAATTCAGAAGTCATTTAAATTTTAGCTTTCATTATGGTTCACATAAATATCATTGATTAGTTTACTAGTTTGAGCTTTCTCCATTTTAAGTTATTCTTGACAAGTCCCTCTTTGCCAAGCTTTCATTATTCATCACTAACTTACATAGGACTTCACTGGGACTCAGTTCTTCAAAAGTGCTAAGTGGCATGAGATAAACAGCCTGTTTTCACAGCTTCTGCTAACTGCAATATGTACTGAAAAAATATTCTCCTAAACTCTGGTAATACCTTGCAATTCTGAGGTCAATCCTCTTCTCTATTCCACTAAAACCCCACCCCACCCCACCATACACACACATTACAAAAGTTATGGGTAGCAAATATTATCACATATAATATACAAAAATATCCGTTGCCCACAAATGCAAACAATCTATGTATGAAGGCATTTCAATCATTCATCCTCCATATCCTAAATACATAACACACAAGTGTTACAATAATGCTTTAGGAGATACTACTGAAAAGTAATCACAGCTTATATTACTAATTTTTGCTAAACTGCTTTTCTACTGGAATAAATTAGATTGATTTAGAATAAAAGATAACCTAGAACAGGTAGAATGGAAATTGGGAAAAAAAATCTCTTTGGGGAAAAAGAAGTACTTTTTATAAGAAGAGTAAAATTTCTAATACATTTTCTAAGTCAAAATTGATATAAGCTGCTGATTGTGAAAACCAGCAATGGACTGTTCAAAGCAAAAATAATTCTACAAATTTTAAAATTGTTAGCTCTTTTCACAGAATGCAGCTACTCTTTCTCCTTCATTGAACACAGCATTGCACTCTATATGCAAGTAAAGAAATTCAACGAAGCCCCCAAATTCCTAAACATTTATTTAATATTGGATTTTTTTAACTAAACAGGATTTTCACAGATTGGACCGAGACACATTAAATGACGTCAGCGATCCATATCAATCGTCAAATTTAAGTACATTATATTGCACTGATCTACTTGGAAGTAAAAAAAATATTTTTTGCTGCACTTCAGTAAAATTTGCATAGCTTCACTACCCATTCAGAATTATACAGCTTTGTTAAGCATTGTGAAGGAATTTAAAAGTGTAAATACATTTTGCTAGCACTGATTTAAAAAAAAATTAATTTAAATTATGGCATTATATAAAAATTAAGAATATGCCTGTTCGGTGTGTGAATAACACACACATCTTTATGATTTTTTTTTAAACAAAGAAATTAGACAACTCTTTAGCATCATTGGCACATGGAGACCAATCTGGCAAGGTATTAAAAAGCTGCTGTGAGGTACTTCACATTCTCTCCCTCCTACATAGGTATCTAGTGTCTTGATGACTACAGTGAGTTCTATCTTATTGGCTTATTGGGGGGGAAAAGTCTCCTGGATAAATGTATCCACAGATTACCCAACTGGTATCAACAATATATAAAATAATATTTTTTCTACCAGAGAACAAATGTTCTAGCTTATTCATCTTGCAATCCATCGTTTTAATATAACATTTTAAAAAATCATTTACTAGCAAAATCAACAACTGCAAATGCATTGTTCCTACACTAAGGTCATCCTACACTTTTCCCCTCCTCCCTAAGGTTATGGAACATCCAATCAGAAGACTGAGTCAACTCATCCATAGCACATACTTGAGAAATTACTCTAGCATGCAATGGAATACAGTCAAGTAATCCACAACCAAACACTTTGAACACCGAAATGTGCTACAGAAATCCTCAGTAGCAGGAGCCAGCCATCTAAGAGATGCCAATTTAATTTTGAACTGATCATTAAAGCAATTTGCTATGGTAGCAGACCATTCTCTTTTCCATATTGAAGTGCAGAAAGTTACATATTAAACAATAATGTTAAATAGGTTGTGTGATGTAGTATCTAATGCTAAGACATGATATAATTTAGTTCTAAATTAGCAACAAAGTATAAATTAGATGGCTTTTTACCAGTTCAGCTCTTTTAAATATCAGATGTCAATTGCTTAATACTGGTGTTCTAATAAGCACTTTTTATCAAGACGAACTTAGTTTCAGAAGAAAAAGCAATGAAATAAGTCAGCAAAGAGGCCTTACGGGAGCTACCTATGAAATGTTCCATGGCAGAGTTAGCAAAAGAACAAGCTAAGAAACAAAGACTATATGGCCACATGCAAATTCATTTATAGACAAGTAGATGCATTTTAAAACTTGTCAGGCCTGCCAAGACAGTGGAAGCAAGCATTAAAAACAATGTTTTCCATTTTTTTAATCTAATCGTTCAATGGCTGTATTTCACATACCCCCACTAACCTAGCAGATGGCATTAAGTTAAAGAAATGACAGGTTCACATATGTCTGGATATAGTCCGTCATCTCTAAGCATGCAGATTCCAGTGCAGACCCCAGACTTGCAAATTCAGAGGCATGCATTGGTTTGAAGGTGAGAAAAAGAGGGTTTTTTAAAAAGAAAAACAGCATTTGATCTTTGATAGATGAGAATGTCACATTTAATAGAGCTTGTTCACAATTTCTCATCCATTACTCAAAAACATATCACACATTCTGTTTGCGCCATGACAGCACTTTGACATATTCTTATGTCAAATGTGTCAAACCTTGCCCAGGTTCCTTGTATCATACTTACTGTTTTTCATCTCGATTAAGACATAAGGCCCAGTCTTAAGTACATTCAGAAATAACCTCCACCCCATTCAGTGGAAATTACTCCCAAAGACGCATATTCATTCTTTGAATAAGCCCCACAGAATTTTGGAGGGCTTAATTTCTGAATAAAGATGAGTAGGGTTGGGATGCTAAATGATTTCAGTTGGGGGTAGGTGGGTGCCATACCCTGATAAGTAAATCCCATTTAACCTGGGGAAATATTTCATTTAAAACAATGGGCATTTTAAAGATTATGTATACATGACTTACAAATGAAATTCAGTGGAATCAGTGGAATTTGCTCCAAATAAATGGACATAGGACAGTGCTGCTATTACCACAGCAAATGATTTTATAAAACTACTGAGTAGAGTAGACAGATAATAGGCACAGCAGCAACCCACCAGTTTACACACACACACACACACACACACACACCATACACGGCAAAAAGAGCCAGATTTCTTAATTTTTCTTTTTCTGTGCTTTTTTGGAAATTCTCAGTGAAAACAACCTGCCTTGCAGCCCTCAGAGAATCCAACTATCAAAAAAGCTCTGAGCTTTCGTCCTTCCTTAGCCCGACCATCTCCAAACAAAGCGCCATAAATTCATAAATAGGCGTTGTACTCAGGCTCAACAGAGGGAGAGAAACCTGCACCTGTCTTTCTTGACACAACACACCTGTCCGACGCTGCCCATGCGCACTTAGAGCTGAGCGCCCCTTGTACAATTTCAGTTCTGTTGCTTTGCCAGGCGGAGCCAGCGAGAAGCGCACGAACAGTTCCCCCACTTCTCCCGTCCGCCCTTGTTAGAAGAGGCCACCGGGGGCTGTTACAACAGCTTTATAGCCCAAACCGATGTTCGCTCGCCGTTTTACAACTGGTTCTCTCTCCCCTCCTTCCCGCTCCCTGCTCCTCGAACACCCTTCGCTCTGTCCGCCGAAGTTCCTTAGAAGAGACAAACTTTCCATTCTAACCGGCGCTTTGGCTTGGCGCGCTGAAAGTTACTGCGCGCACACAGAGATACGTACAGCAGCTCGCCGGTGGGCACCATTGCGGGGGAGAGAGATCATCGCCGGAAAGGCGGGAGGGTGTGTGGAGAGAGAGGGGTCTATCTTTGTCGTATTGAGTTTGTGCACGAAGTGGATATAATCCCACGAGCTAATCTAAAGCTTTTGGGGAGGGGGAGGGGGAGGGGGAGG